AGGAACGCCGTGTGGATGGCCACTGCTAAATCAATTATCCTGCCCTCCACATCCGTCACAGAGGCAGGCAAATACATGGCCGGGCTGTGTATCCATCAGCTAATTTCCCATATGCAACTTTGAATGCAAAGCTGTAGTTTCTTAGTCCTGAGTCTTCCGTTTTGTGCTTCCAATCTTGTTTTGCTATGCGGTTCCTTACTTATGTATCTAACTTTGAATTTCAGGTATTGTAGATGCCCAAGAGTGCTTCTGACTGACTTCTGTAGTCTTTCGTGTTAGTGATAATCGCTCCATCAGCCTACTTGACACTGCTCGTGAGCTTCTCTGAAGCACGGGAGGAGTTCTCATTCTGATTTAATGCGCTTGCTGCCCTTAAGTGAATCCATCAGACTCTGCCACCACCAGTAACACATTTATAAAGAAATAAATAATTCAAAACCATTATTTACACATTAGCATCAGAAGCCATGGTTTCAATGAAAAGAGGAGGTGATCAGCATGATATCTACTACCCTGGGTGTGGATGGTATTTGTTCATGCATGCACAGACATGTACATCCACACACAACCCTGCCAGGCACTGTGCTGTGTGCTCTACCTGTGCCACCTGTGACTCTCCCAGCCACTCTATGGAGTAGGGGTCCTGTTTTATGGGTGAGAACATGGAAATGTTGAGAAGACACCTCCTCCAGGGTCATACAACTGTTGAGCTACCTGGTAACTGACGTGCAATTGTCTTGTGCCTAAGCTGCCATGTCCTCTGCAAAGAACAGTAATTGGCCCTCCCAGCAACACACAGCATTGATCTGCTTTGTTAATTTCCTCTCCTGAAAAAAAAAAAAAAAAAAAAAAAAAGGAAGAGACTTGCACGAGATGAAATCTTAGACCCTGATCCAAATCTAGTATCAATCTTTTCTAAGTGACTACAATAAAATCATGTGTTTTCTGGGCTGGTGTCATGGCTTAGCCGGCTAAAATATAGGCTAGGATGACAGCATCCCATATTGGAGCCCTGGTTTGGCTCCCTGCTGCCCCGTTTCCAATCCCTTTCCCTGCTAATGAACTGGAAAGCATCTGAAGACAGTCTGAGTGCTCAGACTCTGGCCACACATTTGGGAGACCTGGATGGAGTTCCTTGCTCTTGGCTTCACACGTCGCTACTGTAACTATTTAGGGAGTGAATCAGCAGATGGAAAATCTTGCTCTCTGTCTCTCCTTCTCTCTCTGTCACCCTGCCTTTCAAAAAAATAAGAACTTTAAGAAAACCATTTTTGTTTGTTTGTTTGTTTATCTCCAAACTCCCTGCCTAGATCCCCTGATTCATGGATTTGCCATCAGTGGAAAAACTTCCATAAGAATCTGCTCAGGTTAGGAAGTCGCTTGTCTCTCTTCATTTAAGTCAAAGTAGGTGAAGTCTGAAGCCATGTGAAATCACAAATTTTGGCAATTTAATTTTTTCTTAAACATAAAATACTTAGATAAAATTGTAATTATAAAGTAGGAATACACTAATTGATGGGACCATATGTCCTTTAAAAGCAGATACTATGACAGATTTAACTGTGTTTGTTTTACCAGTGCTTTCTATGTAATAAATGCTTGATAAATGCTTATTGAGTAAAATTTAACATAAGCTGATTTCTTTTGTGTTAAAATTGATTTTTTAATTTATTTGAAAGGCTGAGTTACAGAGAAATGCAGGGAGGGACAGAGAGAGAGAGACAGACAGACAGAGAGAGAGAAAGGTAGAGGGGGAGAGAGAGAGAAAGAGAGACAGAGACAGTGAGAGAGTGAGGGAGAAAGAAATCTCCCATCAACTGGTTCACTGTACAGGTAGTTGTAATGGCCTGGGCTCGACCAGGTTAAAGCCAGGAGCCAGAAACTCCATCCAGGTCTCCCACGTGTGTGCTGGGGCCCAAGCACTTGGGCTATCCTCCACTGCTTTCTCTGGTGCATTAGCAGGAAGCTGGGTGGGAAATGGAACAGCCAGACTCTAAGTGGTAACCATATGGGATGCCAGAGCTGCAGGCAGTGGCCTTACCCACTGTGCCATGGTGTTAGTGACAAGGTGATTTTTAAGGTCCACCTTATATCTGTGATTAAAGAAGGTTTTACATCTATCATAAGTAATTTATGATAAGCTATGTTTTGCATTTTGTTGAGTTGCTTAGGAATTACTTATTGAGGGGCTGTCATCATGGCACATTGGATTAGGTTGCCCCTAGATACTTGTATCCCATGTTAGTGCCATTTCAAGTTCTGGCATCAGGACTGGGTACTGGAGCCCCTTTCACCCACGTGAAAGACCTGGATGAAATTCCAGTCTTGTGGCTTTGGCTTGGCCCAACTCAGGCCTTTGTGGCCATTTGGGGAGTGAACCAGCAGTTGGAAGCGCTCTCTCTCTCTCTAACTCTGCCTTTCAAAGCAAATATATATATATATATATATATTTTTTTTTTTTTTTTAAAGAGAGTGACTTATTGAGAGTGATAAAGGTCAATGGACGTCATTTCACTTGCAATCCCTGGTCCAGGGCTGACATTTTAGGAACATACATGCACACACAGGTGGGGTCACACCTTTGTCCCTGAGACCTAATCCATTGCCCACCAGGTCAGGTAAAGACTTGAAAGCCAAAAGGAAGGAAAGGTAGCTGTGAATTTCCCAGGGATCCAAATAGGTGCTTGATGTGACCCATTTGCCAAAACAGTCAGGAAGTGAGGTTCTCAGGAATATTATTGATTTAATTTGCAGAGTGATACTGGGGACAGATGTTTATTTTGCAGTTTGCGGAGTCTGAGATAGACACAAATGGACACTTAGAGAAGTGAGTCACTTCCCTAAAGTGCCAGTAATTTAGCAGTAGAATAAAAACAGGAAGAATTCAAACACCCATTTTCCCAGCTCGCTTATCTTCCCGACACCCTGCACTCATCGATAATTTTACTTGCTCCCTCATTTTTCTGAAACTATTTACAGTGCACACACATATTCTAAGCATGCTAATATATGCCAGAGACATGTGGGTGAACTGCACCAACATGGAACCTGCCATTGTAGACCTTTCAGACTTTTCCCAAGTACAGCTGTATCACAGTTACAGAATTTAGACTGGGAATAGATGTTTGATTTTGAAAGAGATTTGGATGAAAATTATGATTTCTCATGAGATCAGCACTGTGGTACAACAGGTTAAGCCACTGCTTGAGATGCCAGCAACCCATGGGGCTGCTGGCTTCAAGTTTGGGGGACTCCACTTCCAATCCAGCTCCCTGCTAATGCCCCCTGTGAAAACAGTGGAAGATGGCCCAATGGCTTCTGCCCCCTGCCATCCGTATGGGAGACCCAAATGGAGTTCCTGGCTCCTGGCTTTGGCCTGGCCCTTTCCTAGCCATTGCATTTTTCTCTCTTTGTCTCTCCTTCTCTTTCTGTCACTCTGTCTTTCAAATAAATAAATCAATCTTTTTTAAAAAATGTTATTTCTTGTATATTCCCAAAACTCATTGGCTTTGTTGATTAACAGGTGTATAAAAAGCAAGTTAATTTTCCTACCATTATTTTTGTAGATTGGTTAATTATGTTAAGATCTCCATGAATTATCTGAAATCCAGGGGGACAGAGGCATATTGGAAAAATACACATGGAGTTATATAAAGCAGCAGCTTTCAGGTTTGCCCACAAAATGCAAAGGCCTCAATTCCCAACTGAATCCCACCCCCCCCCCACCCCCCAGCAAACCTTCCACTCAGTCGACAGAGTGGTTTCTGCAGATCTCAGTATCCCTACAGGAAGTTTTTGAAAAACCAAGTGAATGGGTGTTTCCCATTACCAGTGATCCCCAGGTCCTGTGATTCTTCCATGGCTACCCAGCCTGGATGCTTAACCCCTCCCTTGTGTACCATAAGTAAATCTAATAAAATGTGGCTCTCAGGACTGTCTACAGGTTTAAGTGCTTTCCCTAAAGATGCTTGAATTTCGAAATAGGAGTGAAAGTCAAACCGAAGAAGCACTGATGTTGTGCTATGGAATGTCAGTCCTGGTAGTTTTAGATAGAAGAGTGTAGGGGCAGAAACTAAACTGTATTTCTGGGAGGTAGAGTCTGCCCTTACCTTCTTCTTCCCATTGCTTTGCATACAGGAAGAAAATAATAATTTATTCTTCTGATTTCCAAAAGCAGAAAACAAAGAAGCAAAATATGTGGCTTTTGACACTTACAAATAATTCTAGGGATGATCTTTGCTTTTAGGATACTGTATGATTTTTAAAACAAAAACTACCCTATGATATGTTGTGTAGTGACGTTGGTTTTAGCTAATTGATATTTGTTGGATCATTGATGAATGCTTTGTTCATTAACTGAACTTTTTTGCTAAAAGCAGTAATTGCTTATAGAAACAAATCGAGAGAAGAATTCTTTAATCCTCCTTGGTTCTTCCTTCTGGGTGTTTGGTTCTGTTTCCAGGGGCTTTCTTTTTCTCTGTGTTCCCTGGTTACTCAAGCCTGATCAACTAAGAAAAATACATGACTCTTAGGAAACTACTCAGAGCCAGGCAGAAATAATTAAGTGTGCATTACAAATAACATCAAAAGGAATGAAGCTTATTTTTAGCTCAGGCAACTGAAGATTGACAGCGGATTACAAGTGCCACTCAATTAAATTTGTGTGTGTGTGTGTGTGTGTGTTCAGGGAGGGTTGTTCCTGACTCCCCAGTCTGCTACAGAGTAAGAACCTGAAGACAAACTACGGCCCGAGCAAACTCAAAGGGACGACCTTGGGGACTTGAGGCGCGTCCTTGACCTTCTGAGTTTGCCTGCTGGTCCCCAGGTGAGGCTGTGCTGATAACAAGCTAGGTGAGAGAAGGCGCGCCCAGCTGGGAGAGAGGAGAGAGGAGAGAGCGGGGCTCGCCACAGCCTGCAGCTGATGGAGAGGGGCAGTGGGCTTCAGGCGGGGGGAGCACACAGGCCCCCAAGGGGCGGGGGCACACAGATCAGCTGCAATGAGGCCGGTGAGCGGGGTGCTGATGCTGCACCCATTTGAATCACTGATTACAGACCGCCCCAGCTTCTTCTCACCCGCTGTCCTAGTCTTAACACACAGGACTCCAGGGCATCCTCCTCATCTCCCTCTTCCCCTTCGGACGCTCCTCGGTCCCCACCGCCCACCCTCCCGCGGTCACCTGCTCGCAGGTGACCTAGGTGGAACGGAGCCGCCGAGTGCGCAGCTGCCACCGCCCGCAGAAAGTGGCTCCGGCAGGCGCCGGCTCATCCGGGGGCCGCCACTGCCTGGAGTTAGCGCGTGAGGGAGAGGCAGACAGCCCTGCGGGGGCACGTGGGGAGCAGCGGGCCGGGAATCACAGCCCAGCCCCGGGGCCGCGTCTGCACGTCTGGCCCGGCGGCGGGGAGGCCCTGGCTCCTCGCTCCGGCAGCGGGCGCAGAAGCAGCGGCCAGAGAGAGGCAGCGCCGCCGCCCGCCGCCCGCAGCCGCGCCGGTCCCCGCCTCCTCGCCACACGCGCGCCGTCTCCACCGCGTCTGGATGTGCGCCGCGGGCTCCGGGGGACACGGCTGACGAGCGCGCGGCCCCAACAGGTACTCCCCGCCGGCCGGCTCGGCTCGGCTCGCCCGGGGTTCGTGCGTGGGGGCCATAGGTCCATCGGCCGTGCCGGCAGCGGCAGCGCGGGGGACGGGAGGCTGCGGACCTGAGTGAGGCGCGGGAGCGCGGAGGGCAAAGAGGGGGACGCCGGGCTCGGGCCGCCCGCCACGCCCTCGCGCCCGCCGCGGAGTTGCCAGATGTTGGGCGCGGGTCCGGGGCTGCTGGGGGCCCCCGGTGCCGGGCAGTCGGCCGCGCGCTGAGGAGGCGGCTGCCCGCGGAGTTGCAGGAGCTCCAGGGCTCGGCGACCGCGGCCCCGGCCCGCGCCGCCTGCACCACACTGCGGTGAGTCGGACCCCGCGCGCGCGCGCGCGCGCGCGCGAGCGTGTGTATGTGAGGGTCGCCCGCGAGGTTCCGGCTGGGCTGCGGGTCGGCGAGGCCGGCGCGGGGGAGAGCGAGCCAAGTTGGGAAAGCGGGCCGTGAATTCTCGGCGCCCGGGGCCAAGAGCTGAGGCGTCCCGGCTGGCGGGCTCCTCTCCGTAGTTGGCAGCCGTGGAGAGCGCTCGTGCGCCGCGGGTCGGGGACCGCACTCGGGGTTTCTTTCCCAGAAACTTGCTCCCCGAGTCGCCGCTGAGCTGTCCGTCAGGGTTTTTGTTTCCACACACCCGGGTTCGTTGTCGTGAGTTTGAGTCCAGGGTTGTTTCCCCGTCTGCGTAGCAGTCTGGCGGCTTGGCTGAGAGGAAAACCATGTGCAGCCGGCCGCGGGCAGGTGCGCAGCCCCCCGACGGCACTGGGGCAGCCCCAGGGTCCGCGCGGGGCGGTGCGGGGGTCCCGGGTTCTCCCTCAGCAGCCTTTTCTTGGGATTCTTACATCCAGGGCCCTTAACGGAGTCTTAAGCACCACTTGCATTCACGGGCAGAGAACGAAGGTTTAGGAAACTTTCTGAAAACCGACTTTAACTGGTTCCTCAAATTGCAGGTAACCAACTCTTTAAAAAAAAAAAAGAAAAAAAGAAAAAAAAAAAAGGTTCGCGAGGGACAGATCTTTGTAAAGCCAATGGCCCCAGAAATGTGAATGCAGGCAGGAGACAAAAGGCCCCAGAAAAGAAAGCAGAAATGGCCCCACAATGCTGAGCTCTCCTCTGAGAGACCAGGTTTTTGTGATGGGGGGAGGCTGAGAACAAGAGGAAGAACATAAATAAAAGGAGCGTGGCACTCAGAAAGATGTAAGACTTAGTTGGACATAGTCATTGGAAAAAGTACTGTACTACTTCATCTTTCTCTAAGAGAGAGTATTAAAAAAAAGTTACCTAAAACAGAATCCAGGATTTCAGTCTGGACACTTGCATAAGTGCTAGCATAAATTCCCTAGGATGAGGGATCTTCACAACTGTTGGAACTACGGACGTGAAAGGCAGAGAATCCTGAATTCCTCTGTCTTGAGAAAAGAGAAGACCTAGGGCCACTCTTAGCCTGTTATTTCAGCTTTAGCAATTTTATTACTTTCTCTAATCCACCCAGTCTTCATTATTTTGCTAAAAATAAAGCATGCCCAGGATGTGATTTGAATTGTTTTGACTAATTGGCTACTCATCTTGAGACTCTCGGGCGAGAAAGGCTTCCTTGATGTTTTCGGAATTATTGGAGTACCCAGTTTGTTACAGGCAAACTGTTCCACAGGCCTAATTTGTGCATCAGTTCCACACGTGACTTTCTGAATCACTGAGTAAAATATAGTCCAGGGAATATATTTGTTATTGTAGCGCGTGCATGAGGGATATTAAAAACTTCAGACTGCATTAAAAAAGGAAACCTCTATATAAAGACGAGAAGCAAGGAGTCCCCTGATCCCCTGGAACAGACTATAGCTTGAAACTAAAGTGAAGGGAAATCGAGCTGAGATCACTGATGGAAGTTTATTGAACTTCCTGTAATGATAGAAACTCGGTGGTGAAGTGGATTGCAAACAGTGCCTCCGTTTCACGCTTTTCTTGTCTTACTGGTCCACAAATCTCACAGTGTGTCTGGGGAGGAGGATTTCACCATCGGTTTTGAGAGAAAGCAACTATTTTAATGTTTCAACCACTGGTGAGGTTTGCAGGGATGATGTGTGAACTAGGCAGGGATCCTATGACTCATGCTTTTCCTTGCACACTATTGAAGGAAGGAAGAGTTGTACCCAGACAAGCCAAAGATAGCCGCTGGTCCCTAAACCTAATTCTGCCTGCTAATGGTGTCTACCAGGCAATACACAGGCTTGAAATGACATTTGCAGATTATCCTTTGTTGCATGCTTCTCCTGGCTGTCTCAGGAGCAGAGCTGTCTTTATGCATGCTACTATTGCCGTAAGCTCTTAGGAGTGGCACCTCCAGTCTAGGAGAATCTGCCTGGCAGAAACACCAGGAAAAAGCAGGAAGATGCTTCTTCCCATCTCCTCTCTCCTATCTATACCATTTCTGTCTTCTGTTGGACACTGACACAAAAGCTGACCTCAACGGAGAGTCCAGAGCACAGACTCACCCTTAGTTATTGATTATGAAGTAGGTTCAACTCCTTCAACAGCTCTCTGGATTATTCCCATGTATGATGTTGCCTGTCACATAATGAATGAGGAGCTGGCAATTAGTGTGAGGGTGGTAGTCACAGTACTAGGTCAAGGGCTTTGAATATGTTGTCTCATTTATGAGACTAGCGATGACTGTTTCTGTTTAGAAGAAAACCTCAGAGGGAATAAGCAAGTTGCTGGAGGCAGTGTATTTAGTAACTGATGGTGTAGGGTTAGCTCCCAGGGGGACAAAGTCTTAATGGCTTTGCTGCTTGTTTATTGCAGTGATACTCTATTATGCATTAGGTGAGAACTTACCAAAGTGTGGATGCTGTGGGTGGTGAGTGGTTCACTTTTAGATCAGTTATCAGAGATCTCCCTGCTCTGATGATATCCGAGATTGGATCTACCTTAAGTGGAACTGAAATTGACTCCAGATAACAACAAACTTGGTGCACTCAGCATTCCAATTTCAAGTTCTGCTTTGGCTCCACAGACTGTGGAAATGATGCTGGACTGTTGCCAGGAAGGAAGATGGTGGAGTTAATATGGGAGGAGAGAAACTGGGAGATCTGAAGACGTAGAAGGATGGATAGAAAAAGGGGAGCTTGGGGTGGGAGGCCAGTGTAAAATTATGTCCAGATTCTTTGGCTGAAGCGTCACTCACACAAACTCTTTAGGCTGTGTGTGGGGTGGGAATCTTTTAGGTCAAGGAAAGGGCACAGACTTGAAACATCCCTTGAAATAGTTGTAAGGTCTGATGATGAAAATTAGATTATACTTGTCTTCAGATAATCTCCTGTACATGATTTTTTTTTTTAAAGAGGAGAAATAACGATTCAAAGAAAACTGTGGGAAAAAGGCCAGATGATGACTGAAGAGGTAAAACAGGGCATGGAAACCTCACTGGTTCTTGCAAAAATCACATTCTGAAAATTTGCCAGGAAGCTAAAGGCCATCTTTAACTGGTGGGAATTAAAACAAAATAGTTCCTTAGGTAAAATGTGAAGTGTTACGGAGACTAGCACAATTACTGTCACTTGTCTTCTTATCACAGAAGACAAACACTAACAAGGGATAAAATGAAAATGTTGTGGGCGTACAGCCAAGCAATATTTTAAGATTGGTCTTTCTCAGCATGCTAAATTTAAACAACTGAAATTCTTTTTAAAGTATTATCTGAGTCAACAATTTGAAACGAATGATTTGCCTTTTAACAGGGAATTTGTATGACATTGTACATTTGAAACACAATGTCCTTGACCTATTATTTTTGATTGGCAGCATGCCAGTCATGATGGTTGCAATGGTTGCAAGAGCTCATACTTTCAAAATCAGAATACAATGATTGTATTCCTTAGGCAAAGTGGATGCTTCTGGACCACAGGCTGTTGTGTAAGGGATGATTGAGCTTTGCAGATATATTCAGGATGTTGGCCTGGATTCTTGCCATTTGTAACAGTTTAGGTGGGAGTGATAACAAAATTGGATCTGATTTGATTATTAAGGGTGGTACTTCTCTTGTAGTTATAATGCAATAGCAATAACTTTACAGAGTTCCTACTACATGCCAGATACTTTTATAAGCAGCTTATACATTTAGTCTTGACACTGGGCTAGTCCTATGATTATCGTAGTCCTATTTTATAAAAGATCATCTTGAGGAATTGCAGGATTAACTAACTTGTCTGAGGTTACAAATCGCTAGATACGGAGCTGTAATTTGAACCCAGAAATCCAGGCTTTTACACAAACAGCCCCAAATCTGTTATTAATTGCCACTGGGTTCCCATAGCCCTCTACAGTTTATGCTGTTTTGTGCCTCCTGTGTTGGTTTACACTTGCGTCTCAGTCTGTGATTCATATATTGACATCCAGATGCCTCTGTGCTCACACTATGCTTCACCTGATGCATGGTTGTCCCTTGGGCTTTCACTGTAGTGTCAGGACACATTAGCTGTATCTGGACTGCTTGTGCCTGCCTTCACTACTGAATACTCTACGGAGCACTCAAATCACCTGTTAGAAGAAGGGGACCAAGCCTTACTTATCTTTGGAATTTTCACAGTTAGCACAATATGTAATACAATATTGGAACTCCATAAACACTTCTCTTAATAAAATGAATTCAAGGTTTTAATTCCATTCCCTGAAGAGATTATAGTCTTACTTCCACAGTGTTGAGCCTTTATCCAAAGAGTCTAGAGACTTCTCTTGCACATGCAAGCTATGAGATCTGAGCCAGAGAGTGTATTGTAATAACTAGAACCCACGATTTTTATACAGTCACTCAAAACACATTTGCTACTCTATGGGACATTACATTTTTAGAATGAGAGGAATGATATTTTGGAATGTGATAGATGGTGTATTTATTCCAGATCACACAACTTAATTTTCTATTGATAACTCATTTCTGGTGTTAAGGGAAAAAGCAAATATTATTATAAGTTGT